CTCTCTTGCACTCTCTCTGTCTCTCATACACGCACACACACACACACACACACACACACACACACATGCACACAGGCCCCCCAGCCCCATGTCAGATGGTGCTGAGTAAATCAGGGCTGACAATAACACCTCCCCTGGGTCCCACACATCACAACTACAATTCAGACCTAATGGAGCAGCAACGGAGGGCTGGCTGCTTAGTGTGTGTGTATGTATGCATGCCAGAGGCAGTGTGCTCTTTTTCATTTTGGGATCTCAGGGGGGCATAGGGGATTATCTGTGGTACAGATATCAATCAATTAAGGCAATGTGTTAATTGAATAAGGTCCTGCAGTGGGCAGGCCTTTTTGGTTTTGAGGAGGAAAAAGTGCTGGGAAATAAATGGCAGGTATGGAGTGAAATTAAAAATGAATTTTGTTTTCAAAATAATATTTTTTTAGCTATATTTGTCAAATTAAAATATGCACTATCCCCAAATAACAGGCACACAAAAAAACTTTGTGTTTGACTGGATAGTACAAAAAAATAGAAAGTGTCTCCATGATGGCAGACACACACACACACACAAGCAAACAAACTGCAAGCACAGCAGGGACCAGCATGATACTTTTGTTTATACTGCAGATTAATGGCACCAGCAGCAGCATTAGAGGAATGTAACTAATCAACACAGTCATTAGCGTCTGTTTTCTTTGACAACTTTAATCAAATCCATCACTGCTCCACCTCCCCATTACCCGCAAGCTGCGTAATTATTTCTTCATTTTATTATTAGACAGGAATGCAATATCTAGTAATCTGTCTGCAATGGCTGACTGAAATGCATTCAGGAGCATTCATATTAGAAATGTATTGGCTAATGTATCACTCAGCTCTTCCTCTCAGTGCTGGCATATAGGTATTTGTCATCTTTAATGCAATCATCAAAGCACTTCATACAGGCATTAACCCGGGAGCGTGTGCATGAGACACATACTGATTTTCATGTGTTGTGTTTGTTAACGCATCATCCTTCACGGCGGTTTTACAGCTGCATATGAATGCAGTGATATTTAACATCAACCAATAAAAGGCCATCTCGTTTCAGAATAGAATCACAGGTCGGTCTTTTTGTTTATCAGTATTAAGTATTAAGTTGCAGCTCAGAGTGGACCAAAAAAGTCAGAATTAATAAGAAATAGTTGAAGTATTTAAAAACGACAAACAAACTGTTTGTGATTTATGGAAAAAATAAATAATTATCAAACGTACATGGATGGAATTAATTTTCTGTGCATCAGCTGTGTAATCATTTCAGCATTAATTGTTTTCCTGGGTAATAAATTTTCCATCTGCAAGTATCCCAGTCAGATTCCCCCAGTTCAACAGTGATAATTTAGCCCATGAAAAAGTTTGTTTGCAAACTGGAAATAGTGATGCTTTAACCATATTTCTGCTGGCTTTTGCCTCATTAGTAGGGGAGACCGGGGATAGTTGTAACATTTTTGACATTTCTGTCTGTAAATTGGAGCTCTTTTAAGGTAGTGGATTCAAAATGTAATGCAAAGTATCCACATGTCTCGGCTATTAAATAGTGCAGCTATTTTCTCTGCAGCACAATTACCCATTGCATGGTATGGCCTCAAACACAAAGAGTGAAATGTTACAATTAACCCCATAGTCTGGGTTAGTTGTAACATATCCTGGGGTGAAATGTAACACAATGAAATAAGGGTACTAACAAAATATTAACATGTAATCTTTGTTTATTCAACACATGAATGCACTTACATCCATTTATGTAGCTGTGTGTGTGTGTGACAGAATGCAGAAATCTAGCTTTTGAACATATTCCAACCCCCCAAAAAGACAAATTATGGAATTTTCTGCAGCTGAATATTTCATTAATTTTGGTTGGTCTTCCTTGAGTTTGGCCTCATTGGCTCAGTGGGCATTATAACCTACAACTCTTAAACCAATTTTGAACATAACAATGGAGCTGAAAAAATGTAGTTGTTCACTAGCATCGCAATTCCATTACTTTTTATCATACCTTGGTGTGGTTTGCAAAGTACTTCAGAAAGATGAGGAAATCTGTTTCTTGCATCCATCCTGATTTATTTCCACTACCAGTACTTCCTACTGGTCCATCTCTGACACAGAGGTCTGCATAATGTATGTGTGGGAACACAAACAGTGGAGGAATTGTGTTGCCAATGGCATTAACCGCATATACAAATGCGACCAGTGAACCTCTCTCTGCTGATGTCGTTGCCCCAACTTGTTTAATATAAGTTAAAGTAATAGTGCGGTAAGTTGTAACATCTGCGTTATTGTTACAACTAACCCAGACTGTTGCTGTTACAACTGACCCAGACTCCTATAGCCATGAACTAGCTAACATTACAGCCAACGGCTAAAACATTAGCACTAAAGACTTACACAGAATATATCCCCATAGACATACAAATAACATAATTTAAGTTTGATGAGTTTAACTGCAAAGCAGATAATGCTATTACAAATTGAAATAAAGTAGAAAAACTTACTTTTTGGCATACAAATTACTTTTTTTCGTGTTAAATTGTCTGTGTTTGACAAAATGTGCTGATTTTTCACATGTGATAGCAGAACTGAATTGGGCATGCACAGGATGAGTCACATCATTTGAAACTTAGCCCTGATTGGAGAAATTGGAAGTGTTACAACTGACCCACGTTACAACTATCCCCGGTCTCCCCTACTGTTGTCAGGATTCATAGCAGCACGTGCTTATATGATTATCACAGTGGGATAATCACCTTCTTTCTCATTAGGAGCCTTGGCTCTGCAAAGGGCATTCTCCGAGCCTTTTGGCTTCTATGAGGTGTTAACAGCTCCCTCGGGGAGGCTGTCTGGCTCTCGCATAACCCTCGACCTCCCCACCCACGAGTGCAACACGCACTAAAACCACTCAGACTCGCAGATGGTCGCTACACCAGCAGCCAGCCATCACACTTTTCAATTATTGCTTCGCCTGCGAAAGGCCATTGCTCAGCTGTCACCTCTTAGTGGCACTGCAGATAGGAGAGAAGCCAGCCAGGGATGGGAGACATACAATTCCTGCATCCAGAACATGGAAAGCCCAGAGATGACAGAAAAACAGCCGCAACGTGTCTACAACAGCCATGACAGTACAGTACATCAGTACAGATGTTTTTAGAGTCTGCTCGCTCGCTGTATAAGGTGACAAATCACTTAATATAATTGTTGATTTTGAAGCCAGCATTTAAAGTGGCAAATGAAAGAGGGTAGCTGAACCACTTAAGTCTTACACAGTTTTAGTTGCCTGCATGAAAAGAAGGGAGGGGTGAAGAGACAAGGAGGGCAAGTCCTGAATGTTTGCTCTTTAGTGTTTTAATATTGAGCTGCAGGGGGGGATGGAAAGAGATTAAGAACATCATGATTTGTTTTACCAAAAATTAAAATATACACTTGTGCGTTTCAAACAGAAATGAGTTTCTTGTCTTAAAGCTACGGCCAGGAGATGGCTCCTCGGTCCTGGAAAAGTTTCTGCCTGGTTCTATCTGAAGAATATAAAGATTTTATATTATGTATTTGATTCATATATCAGTCAAAGTATAAAAAATATTTAAAGAAATACTGCAACATGTAATTCCCAATTACACTCTTTATGTGTTTATACATATGGAAAGCTATTTTACAGAAACAGCTTGACCCTGCTGCAAACATACACACAAACACAGTATATGAGGCAAAAACAGAAGTCTGTGAACTTCGAACAAGCCTGAAAGTATTTGGTATAACCACCTTTAATCTTCAGGAATAATTCTCCAGGCTTTTTGAAGGACATTCAAAGCTCTTCTATACATGTCGGCTTCTTTTTTTTCCTTTTTGTTCTCTGTCAAAAAGGTTCCCATGGTGCTTCAATAATGTTGAGGTATGAGTACTGGGGAGGCCAGTCTGTGACTGATAGTGTTCAGGTATGAGTTTTTCTATTCAGGTATGCCTTTACTCCATTCACAGTGTGTTTGTGCAAAAATGAAGCCAAATCCTTTCCACTGGGTACCGCATGGTGGATCAAAATCCAATTTATAATTTCATCATACACTTACAGATCAATGATGATTTGAACCAAATATTTAAAATCTGGATGCATTGCTCCATAAGACCTGTTGCCACTGTTTTTTCAGTTCTTGAGAAATTTGACATACCTCAGCCTTTTCTCCCCGTTCCTCTCCTCATAAATAGCT